CACTTTTGTACAGTCATGTTATTAATCCCACGTAAAAGGGGAAGAGGTAACGGTAGACTCTAGCCTAAAACTTAGTTTTCTAAGGTCGAATGCTTTGGTGAATAAGATAATATAGTGTTGCATTGCTTAATTGCCTGGCTCATCATACATCCTTACATACATAACCTCACGACTGTCCCCCAATGGGGGTAGGCAGAGACTATGCATCACCAATTGCTACAATTTTTACATATTGACGAACGAATTGACAACGAATAATTTGACCAGATCGAAAAACATATTTCGAGAGCGAAGCCAATGACCCTAACAGCGTCACAATCACAACAAACAAATTATATCACATTCCTTCAACAGAATTACACAACAGTCGGAGCCATTAACAACAATAGGAAACAACGTCAGATCTTTCCTTGACGAGTTGTTACGAAGATGTAATAGGAATACCTCAATCAGTTAACACCTTGACCCAAGCTATCAGCTGGTAAGATCTGTTACAGCCCTTGACATGAGCACTGTACGCCGTGCAGTGCAGACGTGTTAGCCAATTGTGGAGGGTAATCAGACCGATTGGAATCATGTTTTATGATATTTGGTCAGTAACGTGAAAAATACTGGTAATATTATTATTTATTTTTAATCAGTCTTTGCAGAATTATTCCAGTAAGGAAAATAAAAGATTACCTATGTATAGCATTTTTTTAAATTCTCCTTATAAGCTTTATTTGCGAATTGATTCACAGATTTGCTGGCGTATCAGCTGTATATGACTGCATATTTAAAACAGAGGAAGCGGTTAAAATAGATTTATTAATTTTAATAAAAGAATGAAAGTGAATTCATGCAATAACAGCTATAGTAAAATCCATTTCGTGAATTTATCGAAAATTCGAGACAAAACTCGGTTTCAAATAGAGAACAATAGACTCAACCGTTGTTTCCACACACAAGGGGATTACCATAATACAAAATAACACTGGCAGCTTAAATTACATTTTTAGGCGTTCGCTTTTCAAATTCGTATTAAAAGACTGTTGGAGAAAAAAGAGGTTTTAATTAGACTCAATTCTCTCACAGTACAGTTTCGGAATTTTAAGTTTCTGCAAAAATGTTTTACAAAAAATACCGCGAAACAGTCGCTAAATGAATCTATGAGTAAAAACTGGGGCATGTCGAGTGCAGAACTACAATCTACATTCATATCATATCGGTCACCGGTATATGTTATTATGGGTACTTGACATCATTTTGTAGCAAATTTTCATTCAGAGTTTATTTTAGAGGTTAATTTCAACCGCGATTATTTTTATTCGTACCTAACAAACATTTGTTCATATATTTTACATTTCTGTTCGTAATGGAGTATATTTTATTTATGCTAGCCATTGTTTGTTCAGTAAATTAATCATTAGGGATCAAGTTTGAATTGTCCCGGTGTTTTTCCAGGGGAATTTTCCACTCAAAACCGCTTTTTCGCTTGAAAAGACCAAACCGTTAGAGGTCGTTTTACATTTGGTCCTTTGGGAACGTGAAGGACCATCCTGTTAGTTCGCTTAAAACGTCATTAGATATTAGTCGATTACGTGAGTGGTGCCTTTAACTAATCAGCTTTACGTAACTCATTTTCGTGAAGTTTCTGTGTTTACACAACATGGCTGAGTTGATTGAGAAACCATTATAGGAAATTATTATTGAACTTGGGAGTTTATGAGCAATTAATAGAGTGGATTACTATTGAACTGGATTTTGATTTAGAGTGGCTGTTGTTTTTGAATAGCTTTAATGATATTTAGTATGAGATTGAAAACTCCATTTTTAATCTGAAAAATATATTAGAACTTACATATTATAAATTGGGGTATAATCAACATGAATTTTAATCTTTATGTTAGTGTTTCAGTCGTTATTTATCAAGTATTTAAAATACTTACATATACCAAAAGTCCCTATAAACCGAATCTGACCGTTCTAGCGGCTAATGACACATGTTATTTTTGACCGAGGTATCAGAAATCGATGAGTGACGTCACACGGGACACCGAACCATTAGTGGTTGTCATACACGACATTTAGATATGAAAATCAATATCAATATACGTACACCCTACATAAAGAAAATTCTCCTATTATTGGTGTGATTGAGTGACAGACAACATACTGGTGGAACTACTAGTTGTGGTGACGTAGGGTACAAAAATTTCGTTTCCTTGGAGGCATTATGAGAGGTTTCCCAAAAGCGTGTTCGGCAACGGAATTCATTTGTATTTTATGCTTGTAAAAAGTGGCTGGCAGTGCTTGGATATAAAGAATAACAATTAAAAAAATAACACAGTAGCATGCTATTAGAGATACCAATATCCAGTAGTAAGATGAAAACAGACTGATGATGATAGAGGTCCCTATCATAGCATAATCTGAGCAGATAGGTTCAAAGGATGCACTCAATAAAACAAAAGATAAACAGAAGAACATTGCACCAGAACTATCACAGCCTAGAGGGGATTCACGACCCTCAATAATGAGGAACACGACTTGAGTACACGGTAATCCATGAACTCAAGTCGCCAACCCATGGATTGTTAGATTGAAAGATCTAAGCTAGGAACAATGTATTTTCTGTTATGTTACATACATAGGCAGAAAAGAGGTTTTTAATTGTAACAAAATAAGAAAGTTTACAGGCAACAGTTAATGTATAACTTTATAATTATACATGTGAATGTTTATTTTTCAAACAGCACCGTGTTTTGGGTTCTTTATCGAGCAGCTTTTATGCTTACAAGTAGGTGGTCTGGGCGTGATATTTTTGTTAATTTAAACTCAAGGCAAAACAGTGGTGTTTTTAGTGTTTGAATTTGCGTTCGTTGCCCTTTTGTGAGATCCCGTTTGCAGTAGTTGACTTGATGTAAATATTTCCTCTGTTTTTGCACAGGTCCTGTTTATAAATTGTTAAAAAATCTGGAGATTAATATTGAGTCTTTAATTCCCTAAAGGAATGAGCAGTAACATGAAGAGGTGGGCATGGACAATCAAGGATTTTTCGTCCATAGCATTACGAGTCTCATTTAGCAGGTCTATTGCAAGTTTAAATTGTTTTTCTGTTAGCTAGATAGACATATCATTTCACGATCATAACATTTACTATATTGTGTACTTACAATTGTCAAAAAAATTATCTGTCACAAGCATACTAAGAAATCCTTACAAATAAATTTCATGTAAAACAAGATTGACTTTCGTCTATTTCTTATGAAGAAAACGGAAATTTCACTAAAATATTTTCGCAGTGGAACACTTGGCTTTCTTCCTAAATATTTAAAAGTAACTGCGAATTAGTCAACATTTTACAAATTGTGGTGACTCAGTATATTAAGATGGAACGAATTTGTGTCAGATTTTCCTTTGTTTTCTTTAAACGACATCTCAATTGCATGAGTATGTGGAAGATATATAGTATGTTTAATAATATGTGTGTCGTGTGAGATGGAATAACAGTGTCATGATGTTCCAGAAGACAAAACTTCGTTATTATTACATTTAATTTATACTGCCTTGTTGGCCGAGTGGTCGCACCGGGTCTCCGGCTCGACGTGCAGGAGAAGGAACGGGGTGGTTTTTAGTCAGTAAGAGTCTGACACTCCCTCCCGCCTCACCCAGGCGGGAGCAGTCATTTGATGATTTTCCCCCTTAAAAAAAAAAGCGCGACTGTCGGGCAAGGGGTCTCGGGTTCGATTCCCTGGTCGGGTAAAGTACTACTGGGTTTAAAAGTATGAGTCTGGAATTGTGCCCGGTAAATGGCAATACGCTCACGGCTCACCCCCTTTTTTTTTTTTTTTTTTAAGGGGGGAAAATCATCGTATGACTGCCCCCGCCTGGGTGAGGCGGGAGGGAGTGTCAGACTCTTACTGACTAAAAACCACCCCGTTCCTTCTCCTGCACGTCGAGCCGGAGCCCCGGTTACCCGTTAGGTTCTCCACCCCCTATACTCATAACATAAATAGTGAAAAGTGGGTGCTACATTGTACAGTGGCATTAAGTGCCGTAATATGCACGCCTACCCCATCGGGGATAAAAGGCATGATGTTATGTGTAAATTTATAAAACAATTACTTTCACCGTAATAAATACTCGATACTTAAATATTTGCAATAGTAACTTATTGGTCATTATCAACTTTATAAGCGTAACTGTTTTCTCCATCAAAATCCTAGCGTACAAAATTGGTCCTTTCGTACTCGCAACTTGCGTCTAAAAGGACCAATATTAAAAAACTAAAAAAGTATGAATGAAGCACTAGAGTCGAGTGGAAACTACTTCACTTGTGTAGATTGCGTTCTTGGGAACTCTCGTTTAAAAAACACCTGGGCTTCAGTGCCGGTGGAAATTACCCTTAATTTCTTTAATGGTCGTCCCGTGTGCTTTTACACTACCTACCAAATATAATTTTCCTCTACTCAGCCACTTTACTTATTTCAATTTAGATTTTTAAATCAATAGTTTGACACAGGTCGTCGACCTTTGACTCTGTAGCGAACTAGTTAAAACTTTTAAACCTACTTATTTAAACTTTATAAAAACTTCTATACTTACATTTTGGATAAACTTTCTAAAATACTTAATCGATACTTAGATTGGAAATAGGCTTACGTGACGTGTACTGAAAGTAAATTGATGAAATAAAATACAATCACTGTTCGTCGTCAGACAAAATAATTACACCGCTTTATCGTACAGACGTCTACGAGTTTATCCGAAGCCGAAGAGTCGGTGAATCTCAGAGATCGTTATTTAATTTCTCATTACTAACATCCAAGGCTCAAGAAAGTTAAAAACGCTATAAAAGATTTAATTGGAAATTGATCCCCGAATTTATGAACAAGTATTCGAAACGTAACTTGGAAACGTTAAATTTAATCAAACAAAACAATTTACAAGTTGAACACAACGAACTACACCGCGAAATTTGAAGTATTTCTAAATAAATAAACGTTTGATTAACCAACCTTTGTGTGGCGGCGGAGCTAACAATCCGTCAGCGTCACAAAACTACGAAGTAACACTCAACTTTATGGACACGGCACTCGCGGGCGTCCGTCGCGGCGCCAGGTTTCGTTCACAACTGAATGTGCAGCGTGCAGCACAGCCAGAGGTCCTGCACTCCGTCTCCATTACGATACGAGACGGTGGAGGCAACCAGACACATAAATTCAACAACCTTCGCTTTAGGTACCCGCCCGTGGATATTATGTAAATATCTGTCTCACTCACTCTAATGTAGGAAAATATCGCTTTTGTTTTTTAATTATTTGTGCATCAGTGTATCAAGTGTATGTAATTACTATATTGTACCTACATTATGCACATTTATTCTGGGTAATTTACATAGATATGAATATTTGAATACGTGTCAAATATCTATTATACTGTTAATGTTCATGATATGTACGCTACTTACTAAATTTGTAATCCGGGATCTATATGCGATTTTCTATCAATGACGACTACGTAAGGTAGTAGAAGCGGATTATTTTTCCTTTAGTATTTTCATATCACAGATAAAAGAAATCACCGCAAACAGATCTCATTACCGCGACCCATACAATCATCGCATCCACATTACAACTTCCTTCCTACTTCATGAGTTGCACAGTGCAGACGGGTTGCACTGTATTCGATCGGTGCAAGACAAAGCGGTGTCAACGTCCCGTCGATCGGTCCGAGCGATGACCGCGCGACGGAAACGATCCAGGTAGCATACCACACAGGCAAAAAGACCCAATAATGTACCAAAAGGACCAAATGACATACGAGTGCTTTTACTTCTAAGATAAACATGTTACATCAGGCGGATATGCTCTAATAGTTCTAGAAACATGGGTACTACATAGACGGATATGGGATATATCCTGATAGTTGCAGCTGTAATATTCCTAAGTAAATAGTAAATTAGATTTGACTTTCTAAGGTATACAAATCATATTTACGAAGGTACCTATTACCTATTACAGATCAATTTTACTGGATGATTAAAGACCAAAATTCGATACATGAACAAAAACTAACATCTAAATTCAGCTGTGACCAATTACAATCCTGATATACCACTGGCAGTTCCCAAAAGGTTGCAAAACATACATACCAAGATGGTGGGAAAAAGGACCACAATCGACAAGGTATCTGAAGAATCTAAAACAACTCTCGGTTGCTTGGTAGATGTAGTCGATACGTGATCTTGCATTAATTATGATGTTGTAACATTTTATTATATTTTATTATGTCAATGGTATTCATTACTATAGCTGCGAAGTTATCTTTATCAATGTTTTTGTCATTAATACCATCGATTTTGTAACTTTAATAACGAGTCTGAACTTCGCAGTGATATTAATGCCCTATGTATAAGTTAGGGTTTACCAATTGTTTAACTGTAGACTAAAAGTGAATAAAAGTTACCCAGTGATACTGTGGTGTATTAATAAAAATTATATGTTGTATTTGTTTTTACATGGTTTTAAAACAGCGACTGAGTCAGTTGTTTGAACAACGATCGAATTTGGAACTAACATATCTATCAATCAATGATATAAGACAAGAGCGGTTCCATAACATCCATCAAGAGATTGTTTTACTTCGAAACTTTAATAATAAACTTCGACGACTATCAGAAGAAAATACGAAAAATAGCGTAAGTAATAAAAATATGTTGAAACGTCAGATTCAATCAAACGCTCACGACCGTCTGAAAAGTTTGGCGAGTGCGCGGTCGGAATGTTAACACGATTAGAATGTGTGAGGAACAACTTCTGATTATAATGTAATTATGAAATTATTTTAGTAATACCAACAAGGTGTTTGGTGTTTTTGTTTACATTTCGACTAATTAAAATAAGAATACGCACACGTCGTGACTAAAGAATTATTTTAGCTCAGAAGTAATATGAGTGACGTTGTTTTGGGAATATTCACTGAGTAACTCATAATAAGTAAGCGTGATATAATTTTAACACAACAGTAATCACTACTGGTCATGACACAGTATTATTCACATATTAAAATATGTATTTTACCTAAAAGCCACACGGCAAGGACCGATTTTCCCGCGTGCAATTGACAGCTGTCAGTTAGCATCTTTTATGAAGCTTATTGTGGACGCAGATATTTTTGAGAGAATCTATCTGCGACTGAATTTATTCCATTTCACTCAATTTTAAATAAAATTAAATCTGCAACGAACGGGAATGTAGTTGCAGAGAGGATAATTTGTGTTGACAACTTGCTAATGATGAGTTGCAGTATTTTTGTCTGGAAAAAGTTTTTAAAGCTGCTTTTCTATCTACTTTAAGCTGAAGTGTAATAAAACCAGATACAATGGATTATGGAAAAGGTACACTAATAGGTTCAAAGGAGGTTCAAGTCTAAAAATGTTACGTTTCAGGATCACTTTCGTACCTTTTGAATATGAGACACAGCCAGGCCATACCTGAAACAGACAAAGACATTATTGTAATCAGCCAGTCGATGAAAAAGAAATGAAATTATATTCGTATATATCAGACTACCTAACAATATTATCACTATCAATTCGTACAATAAAGTGACAATATGCAAAGATGATGTCCTGAGCGACAAGATCACAAGTCACAGTAAACTCGTCGAGTACCGGTTTTGTAGACACAATTATAGAACAATAGGTTGCGGTCACCGGTGACCGCTTGGTGTTTGACAGTTTAAGTCTACAAAAGACATGTAAAAGTGGTAATTAAATTTAATATAGATGGTAAACAAGACATTAATAAGTTCCTATATTTCTCTGCAACGATTTATAGTACAATGTGGGTTTTCTCTTGAGAAACCATAGTTTAAACTGAAGTAGATGGCACCAGCGCTGGTGTTCGATATCACATCCATTCCGAATGATACGCTGGGGGACGGACAAATAGAATGCGACGGAATACTGATGGAAGGATACCTGTTTGTATTCCATCTCAGAACTCGTGGCTGAGTTTTTAGAAAATGTTGGTTATTGGAAAATTGTGTAAAGATGGGTGAGCTGGAAAGTCTTGTAAAAATGAATATCAACAAACTGTTTTCTATTGGTAATAAAGGACTTGAGTTTTTGATAGAAACCTATTAAATATAACCTTAGCTAAAGTTGGTCACCGGTTACCCTTATGGCGATCAACGTGTTAAATTAGAAATACATAATATGAACTGATTAAAAAAGTTTCAAAGATATTTTTAACTATTTGCGACCAACACAGACAATTTACGATTCAGTTGAATGGAACATAGTCATAATTATAATCCAGAAAAACAAAGTAAGTCTAGAAAATGTTACCGGACTTAAATCTTCAATCAAACCGACTTCACATTCCAATTTCTATTCGTTCAAAGGAAAATCGGTTACCGTAGCAACGTACCACATTTTTCAGGCACCGAACTTCGGTATAAATTTGATTCCGTTTCCATGGAAACCAGAAGTAGGGCGTCTAATATCTAGTAGGCAGTCCCAGGCCGCTCACCTAACCTTGTAGGTACATTCAACACTTAAATATCGATGTCTGTACGAGTGTACGTAGTAGATATCTATGAAACTTTGCCCTGACACCGATATAGAATAACGAAACATAACCAAGACCGATTTGCAGTGGCAGGGTTGGTAATGAACGATAGACAAATATAGCTACTTTATTGTTTTAAGTAAAGCAAGCAAGTTATTCATAGGATTTGGCGAATTATACGATATATGAATCGACAAACAAGGGTTTATATTTTTATTAGTCGAACGGCAAATCAATATTATTAGCTAGAATACGCTCTGTTCAAAAAAGGTTGAAGGCTGAGGTTCGCCATTACCTCTAGTCTCCACGCTTGGTAAACGGATCCCAGCTAGATCACTAAAAACTCTGAGGATGTTTTTTTGGAAATTAGACGTATCTGCTTTATCAAAATACCGTTACGAACATATTAAGAGTTATCGGATTACAAACCCGATGGTTAGTGGTTTCATGAAGGCTGCCTTAATTGTAATGGTGCTTTTGTTGAGGAAACAAAACAATTGTATAGTAAATTAATTGTGACAGCCCTATGTCTTACATTCGTCCAAAGTCTAGCATTACACTTGATTAAATAAAAACGTGTACAATGCCCATTTAACGTATAATAACCATGATATAACTATCATAACAATTGTCTTTATTATACCTTATACATACGAGTATATATATGTAGGTATTTTTAATTTGTTAAGTGAATGAACTTGCATGTTATGGTTATGACTTCTTACGGCAAAAAAAAAATAATTAGCTTGTTGCCTTGAATTGATTGTTAATCGATAGTTCCATTAGCGCTTGCTGATTATGTGGTCCTTTGGTTCGGGAAAAAATCTGGTCCTTATGCCTGGCCCCCAAGTGTGTGGTAATTTCATGGTTTAATTTTGATTTTTATCATTCGTCTAGACATCTATCCACCGTCTCTGTCTCCGCAGAGATTGCAAGCGATCCTTGACAAACGAGTTAGTATTCTAGGTTTATACGTATATCGTCGGGTGGGTTTTTGGAAATATTAAGGCTATAGTATCCATTGTGTTTTTGTCAACCTTCCAAACAATAAACCTACATTAACGTTAGGCAATATTATATTGAAATTCTGTCAAACGTCTGGAATATTAATCGTTTCATCCATATATTCATGAATGTAATGTCAACTTCAATTGGTTTTACAACACGCCGGCATCCGGCCGTTTGTCACGCTAAATCGTGGTTTGTTCCGGCAGATGGCGTGACGACTGTCACGTTGTAAAATATTATTTGTTATCCTTTGTCTTCCTAGGTGAAGCAGATGTTTCTTTTGGTAGCGAGGACGCTTAAAGTGGTCTTTGATTAAAAGTAATTAAGGCCTTAATAGGATTACTTCCTATGTCTAGCTTAGGAAGCGCTATGCCGTTCATGACGTATTTTACTTCAGTAGTAGAAAATGATTCGGCAAATTGAAAGGTGTCGTGTATAAGTACAGATTTAAATATTAGTATTCGGGTCGGTAAATTGGTTAAAACGTATTAAAAAATAACCCTTCAGGAAGATAGACAATTTTGTTCTAACCACTTCCATTTAGATATCGAGAACCAATAGCGACAATAGTGAACGCTTCAGTCATCTATCCTTTATCCCACTCTATTGAACAGCCGATCAACTTGTGATGTGAATGTAAACTATGTCAATTCCAGCAAACAACGTAAACATAATGAAGTTCTCAAGGAGCAAACGAGATATCTGTGCCGAGGAAATATGTCATTGTGGTCGTAACGTTCAAAATGTCAGATTGCTTTATTGTTGTCAGTCATAACAGGATTTAGCGAGAAATTGAACAATCTGCGGTAGAAGACACAGTACATAGAATGAGATTAATGTAACAATTCTTCCATTATGCTCGGTGGTTTTATTGTTCAAGTTGTTGCTTGTATTGTTGTTCAGTGTCCAGCATGGGAAATTAGTTTGTACGGTCCAGAAGAAGCAATATGGCTTTGTATATTTTATAGTAAAAATTTGGAGTTGAACATCTTATTAGTGGAATTAATGAAAGTGTCCAATATCTTAGGCTCAATTAATATATCTAGTCTATAGATTGAGATCCGAGCGTACGGCGCGTCGCGTTCCGCGCGCGCCTCAAAGAGCCATCAGACCACCATAAATGGGGCCCAATAGGGCTGTTGCCGATTCGGAGTCGCGGAGAACCTAACGGGTAACCGGGGCTCCGGCTCGTCGTGCAGGAGAAGGAACGGGGTGGTTTTTAGTCAGTAAGAGTCTGACACTCCCTTCCGCCTCACCCAGGCGGGAGCAGTCATTCGATGATTTTCCCCCCTTAGTCTATAGATTGAGATGAAAATACTACAGACTATAGTGTAATTTAAGCAGTGTGTACCAATTACATAATTGATGAAACAACATACAACCGTCCTTTGAGGCCAGTAAAAAGCTTACCTTCCATTATATTAGTTTTAGCACCTAAAGCACTAGGTATTATGGCCAACTATATCTAATTCTTCATAAACCTTGCACGTCACGTTATCATGATTCTAACAACAAGCAATACCTCAGTGTTCAACAAACATGTTCAAGCGATTTAACTTTCCCTCATTTCTAGGTTCACTAACTACTTGCATAATCAGAGGGTTGTTAAATTTAACCTTAAAGCCAGAGGTTAACTCCAAGGCGAA